AATGGAAGTGAAGTTGGTTTCGAATTTTACAAGAGCATCAGTGGCTCTAATAAAGAAATCAAGAGGAGTCAAAGGCGTGTTGATTGTATAATTTATGTAAAAAACTTAAAAAAATCGAAAAACAAGTTAATTATCGGAGATAAAAACTCAAATGTCAAAAACAAGCAATAGCTTTCAAATTTAAAACAACCAAAATTTAATAAAATAAGAAAAAACTAAATGAAAATGCGAAAAAAACCAAAAATCAAAAATTTTGATCCAAATTGCAAATGAAATAAAGATAAAAATCTTATAAAAGAACGAAATCCTTTTAGTAAACCAACAAAGTTATCTATTTGTGTGATGTATCGTAAATACAACACAGATTTTTTGTCGAAATGTAATGAAAACTACTCCAAATTTAATAAAAAAAAGTGAAAAAAGCAAAAAACCAATTGTATTGAAAAAACAAAAAAATTCTCTCAGTGTATACGTAATATACAAAGTTTTAATTATAACACCAAAGTGTCCAAAAATATTAAAACTTTTTACGAGAGAATAAGTATTTTCTCAAAAAAATCAAAAATATTGAAAAAGTTTGGTAATTTTTAATATTACCGGATGTAGTGTGCACGGACTGTAGGGTACACACGACCAAAATTTTTTCCAAAGTATTCAAAAAAATATCAAAATATATAAAAATCAATGAAATATCAAATTTTAAGATATATAATAAAATATCTTTAATAAAAAATATAAAAATGTGTATTCGCTATTAACGTGCACCGACTGTAGGGTACAGCACGATTTTTAATGATTTTTTATTCGCGAATGTATTTAAATTAAATTGTATCAAAAGTTGTACCAAAATAATTCCGATCAAAATTTTAGTTATACCTATTTTTATCGAACGTGATGGCAACCCTATTCGTGTGTTTAACTGGTGTTGAGTGGGAACAGTGAGAGACCATCCAACATTAACAACAATAACAATAATGGTCACTGCGGTCAATGATGCTGCGTGGTTCGACGAATGCCTGTGTATTTGTTGTTGTTTTTAACTCTGTTTTATGCTTAAGCCTTTTATTTCTTTTGATGTAAATCACTATTTAGGCTTTTATTGTTATTGAAAAACTATAAAAAACCACTGAATTTGTTTTTGGCACTCTTTCACTGTTCTCACTTGTTATTATTATTGATTTTACTTGCTCTGTTTGCAAAAACCACCACTTTTTATGCGACCGATTGTGTAAGAGATGATCGTGAAGAAGAATAACAACAAAAACTATACGCGTATTGCAAGACGACCGTAGGTTATGTTATTGTTTTGCCAAATTATTTTATGAAAAAAAAAAAAAAAACAAATCGAAACACTCGCGAATGCACTCTTTAATAAAGATACGTACATTGATTTTTATAGATGATTAAAGGGAAAATGAGAGAGTAATGTGAAGTTTAGATGAGGATGATGTAGAGCTTCTATGGAGATAGAATAAGAGATGTTTAGTTGTTTGTCGTAAACAAAAACTTTATCCGGCTCGAAGGACCAAATGTTTGTGTAGCAATAAAAAATGAAAATAGAAAAATAAAAAACACAAAAGGGGCTTAGTTTAAATTGTCAATAATGACTTGGGCTTTATTGTGTAATATTGGTAATATTATCGTAAATAATATTTTTACCTGTACTTTGCTGGTGCGAATTGGACGTAATCCAAGAACGAATTCTTTGATTCTAGTCGTTACAATGTAACGAGAATAGCGTAGGTGTCGGAAAGTGGCGCTCAATGCTTAATTCGTTAGCTATCATTTTGACAATATCACTTTGTGTTAAGTCACAAAGTTGTATTCAAACGAAGTATAAGAATTATAAAGTATCCAAATAAAATTAAATTAACGAACAAAATAAGAACAATAATGATTCTTAATTAAACACCCCCTATATTTGTAAGAAAACTACTTAGTAACACTAAAATTGGTTTTGGATGAAGGAATTAGGCTGGAATCCCAAAATTTGTAATTTTGGTCTCTGTTCGTGTCTGTGGTTAAGATATGGAAGTGGTTTTGGAAATGCGCCATACATTTATAGGAAAACTACTAAGTAATATTAAAATTGGTATTGGGTGAAGGAATAAGGCTGGAATCCCGAAATTTGTTATTTAGGTCTCTGTTGGTATCTGTGGTTAATATATGGAAGTGGGTTTGGAAGTGTGCCCTATATTTATAAGAAAACTTCTTAATAATACTAAAATTGGTGTTGGGTGAAGGAATAAGGCTGGAATCCCGAAATTTGTTATTTAGGTCTCTGTTGGTGTTTGTAGTTAAGATATGGAGGTGATTTTGTAAACGCGTCCCATATTTGTACAAAAATACTATATGATACTGTTGATGAAAACTTTCATTTCACCAACACACTACAAGCATCACCACCCATCAATGGCACAAAAACAACATAAACACACTCATCACTTAAAACTAATTTCTCCACAAACTTCACCTAAACAACAAATATCATCAACTATAATCGAATACTTGTATTATTAATAGTAGTTTTATTAATAATAGCATTTATTTGTATTACTATTATTATTTATTATATTTAATTTTATTATTACATTTTTTTTCTTTACTTTTTCCGTCAAAATCTTCTCCTTTAATTAAATTATTATTATTTTAATTTTTTTTATTATTTTAATTAATTCACACTTCTCTACATATAATTAGTTACTTACATTATTTTTTATATTAAATTATAAATTTTACTTATTGTACGTATATTAATTATCATGAGTGTAACCAAAAAATACCTTTTGTTTGGTGACCACTCATTTGCCTATTCCCTTTTCTTCTATTTGACAACAACAACACATCGATCACTGATCAGTTGTGTTGTTATGATGGTCGCTTTGATGCTTGCTTGTGCGTCGCGACCCCCTCGCCTACATGCTTTGTTATTCTTATTGCTTAATAACAATGGGAATGCAGAATAGAAGTAGGCAAATGAGTTGGTACACAACCAACTGCACATGCATGCATACATATTTATGTGTGACCGATGTATGCCTAAGCCTTTCTTGTTACAAATAAATATGTAAAAGAAATGAGAATTAGCATGATTGGCTTAGGTAGTCATTGACACCATGCAAATATGCAAAAGGAGATAAATGCATATAAATGCAAACAGCTGTTGCATATTATATACATTTTTCGTTTGGTGATTTTTTGGCTACCAAACAATGTAGTTAAAGTTGACTCGCTCTCTTTTAATTGGACAGCCGAGCGATCAACAACGATAAGTACTTTTGCTAAACCCCTTCAGTAACCTTTACAAAAAAATACTTCTTCTAAAAATAAAATTTATTACTTTGTTTTCTTTTTTTACTTTACATTATTAAACAGTGGGAAAAAACTCAACATTTTATTGGTGCCGAAACCCGGGAATTCTCATCGGTTTAAATGTTCGTTGTGCTTTTCTGAAAAATTCAGTGTTTATTTAAAAAAAAAAAAAAAAAATAAGTGCTTTTAAGTGAAAATTCCAATAATTGAAAATTATAATAAATTATTATTTTGGAAAAAAAAAATTAATTATTCAGTTGTGTTTTGTATGAAAGTGAAAAAAAGTGAAAACTTTTATAACAAAAACTGAGCAAGGCCAACAAAAAGTACAAAAAAAACTAAAGAATAATTGTCTGTAAAAAAATTTATCAAATTAAATACTTCTCTTTAACACTGCTTGTGATTTTAAATTTTCCCAATTTCCCGTTGGAAAAAAATAATATCTATTGATTTTTTGTGCTTTTTGAAGATCAAAACGCAAAACACAACGCCATAGCTCAAATATTTCAATTTTTCTTTTATATTAACTAAAATTTTCCTGCGAATTTAATTAGATTTTATTAAATTTTTATTCATTTTATTAAATTCTTTCGTGAACTAAAAGAAAAATATTTCAATTATTGGAAGTTTTCAGTACAATTTGTGCAGTGGAAGTGACCTAATCTGACCTAAAAAGTATTTCGGTGTCAAAAGTTTGTGCTAGTATATTCAAATCATAACCATGAGTGAAATGTCCAATTTAATAAAAGAACAGAGGGATTTATTCGATTTATTATCGAAATATCAAGCCCGTTTCGAGGCTAAAGATCCCTCTGAAAAAACTCATGGTTATGGAAATGCATTAACTCAAAGAGTTGATGACATTTTTAATCGATTTGAATCGCAACACGAAACGATTATGCAACTTGTGCGAGACTCTTCTTTAAATGCCAGTGATGTGCCATATTTAAATGATGATGTGTATTTTGATTTTTCCGAAAAATATCTAATCTTCAAAGGAAAAATCATAGACTAATTATCTGATTATTCTATTTCGCAATCACCAATGGCAAGCACATTTGTTGCAAATCATAATCGTAGTGACACATTAGCTTCAGACTCTAAACTTCCAAAAATTTCACTGCCAAAATTCTCAGGTGATTATATGGAATGGATTCCATTCCGTGATATATACTTATCTCTTGTACATCAAAACAATTCTTTGAATAAAATTCAAAAATTCTATTATCTTCGAGGTACATTGGTTGGCGAAGCAGCCAACTTAATCAAAAATATTTCTGCCACTGAGGCAAATTATGACTCTGCATGGAAGATTTTGGAATCAAGATATCATAACAAGCGAATGCTTGAGGGTAACTTGATTTCTAAACTTTTCAATATTCCTAAATCTGATGGTGGGTTCCAATCTATTAAAATATTGCTTGATTCTTCTCAAGAGTGTATTGCATCCTTACAAAACTTGGATGTCAATACCGACACTTGGGACCCGCTGTTAATTCATTTGCTTGTTCAAAAACTAGATATTCAATCTCGTCGAGATTGGGAACAATCTCTAAAATCTTCTACAGAATTACCTCAGCTTTCTGAATTATTTTCATTCTTAGAAAGAACTTTTAGGACTTTTGAGTCCTTAACTGATGAATTCCCATCAACTTCAAAAACTTTTTCCAAACAAAACTTCACTAAAATAAGCAAAAGTTACAATAATTCTTCTCCTAAAACCAAGAAAACTTTCACTCACACTGGAAAGTTTTCAAAATCAAATTCAGCTGTTTGTGCATTTTGTGAGAAGAATCATTCTCTCTCAAAGTGTTTTAAATTCCTCGCCTTAACATTGATCGCTAAAAATAAATTTCTTGCAGATAAAAATATCTGTCGCAATTGTTTTGTATCCGGTCACGATGCAAACAATTGCAAATCTTTCTTTCGATGCATAACATGCAAACAACCTCATCATACAGTGCTTCATTCAGATGAACCTGTGACTCAAACTAAAAATCTAAATCTGTCCAATCAAGTCACTTCTCATAGTGCACAATCTTTTAATTCTGTTCTACTTTACACAATTAGACTTTGCATTATCACACAACGTGGTAAATTCACTATACGTGCTCTACTAGACCCTGGATCTCAGGGAAGTCTAATTTCAGAATCAACAGTTCAACTTTTAGGCCTTGAAAAAAACCAGATCACATTGTAAAGTGATTGGTATAGGAAATGGTGGTGAAAACTTATCTAAATTTTCGGTGAATCTTGACTTGTTCACACGAAAACAAGAGTTAGTACTTTCATGTACTGCTCTTGTACTTTCTTCTCTTTCTTCATATACACCAAATCCTTCATCTAAACATATTTCTTTGCCTAATATTGAACTAGAAAACTTAGCTGATCCTTATTACTACAAATCTGACCCAATAGACTTAATTCTAGGATCAGATATCTGTTCTAAAATCAAAATTCCTACAGAGTCATTCATCCATAATGATCTTTTCTTCCAAAATACAACTTTTGGATGGGTATTTTCTGGACCCACTGAATCTATATCTACAAATAGAATCCATATTCACAATGTGAACTTGGAAAATATTCTAAAATCCTTTTGGGAACAAGAGGAAGTTATTTCTAAAAGAAAACTTACCAGTGAAGAACTGGAATGTGAGAAATACTTCCAATCTACTACAAATCGAACCGAAAATGGTCGATATATGGTAAATTTACCATTTAAATCTTTACTAAAATCCAATTCTGACCCTACACTTAACAATAATGTCACTAATGCCTTTAGGCGTCTTAAACAAATTGAAATTTCTTTCACTAAAAGACCCAGTTTTAGTGACACATACAAAGCTTTTATGCAAGAGTATGAATCCTTAGGACACATGACTAAAATAGGGACTTATCCTACTGACGTTCGTCCAAATTCTTATTTTCTGCCTCATCATGGCGTTTTTAAGGAAAGTAGTTCTACTACAAAATTGAGAGTTGTTTTTGATGGCAGTAGCCATCTAGCTGATTATAAATCTCTCAACGAAGAACTTTCTCCTGGACCTCCTCTGCAAAATGATCTTTCTGGTATTATGACCAAATGGCGAAGACACAAAATAGCCTTCAGTGCAGACATTGAAAAAATTTTTCGCCAAATACAAGTCTGTCCAAACCACAGAAAATACCAACAAATTCTATGGCGCAACAGCCAATTTGAAGACATTTCAATTTATGAACTGAATACTGTAACTTATGGTACAACTTCAGCTCCTTATCTTGCAATTCGTATCCTGCAACAAATAGCAGACGACTACAAACAAATTTTCCCTAAAGCTGGTCATGTTTTAGTTCAAGACTCCTACGTTGACGACATAATTTCTGGTGCAGACACTTTAGAATCTGCAAAACAATTGTTCAAAAATCTATGTGCTCTTTTAGAAAAAGCTGGTTCTAATCTCCGTAAATGGAGAACTAATTCAAAAGAACTTCTTTACCAAATACCAGTAGAGCATAGAGAAACATCTGTTACACAAAGCTTTGACCATGACAATATAGTAAAAACTCTTGGCATTCAGTGGAATACAGAAACTGACTCCTTTTCTTTCAAAGTTAATCTCGAAGAAAAACCTTATTTTTCAAAACGAGAAATTCTGTCTGAATCTGCCAGATTGTTTGACCCATTAGGTTGGCTTACACCAACAACTGTTGTAGCCAAATCTATATTCAAACAGCTTTGGGAACATGGCGTCGATTGGGATGAAAAAATTCCTCAACAATTAGAGTCTCAATGGCTAAACCACAGATCTTCTTTGCCAAATTTTTCTAAACTATCCATTCCAAGATGGATTGAATGGTTGCCAAATTGTGAGACTCAACTTCATTGTTTTTGTGACGCATCAACTATTGCCTACGCTGCTGTCGTTTATGCACGCATTATAACCCCTAATGGCATATTTGTCAATATTTTACAAGCTAAATCTAAAGTGTCACCCATAAAAACTGTATCTATACCAAGACTTGAACTTTGTGCTGCGACTCTTGGCGTAAAATTGACTCAAACAGTCAAAGATTCACTTACTGATCTAAATGTCCAAAATATATATTACTGGAGTGATAGCTCCACTGTACTTAGTTGGATTCGTAAATCCCCATCTAATTGGACAGTTTATGTCGCCAATAGAGTCGCTGATATTCAACGACTAAGTAATCCTATACAATGGAAATATGTTCCAACTTCACTTAATCCTGCTGATTGCGCATCTAGGGGAATTCTGGCTGAAGAATTGATTGAAAAACAATCATGGTGGTTTGGACCACAATTTCTTTATGAAACTGAAAAATCTTGGCCAGGAATTCTTCCAAATTTACATATCTCTGAAGAGGAAAGAAAATCTAAAATATCAACTAATTTGTCCACTGAAAAAATATACATTGAACTATTTTCTAAATACTCAAAATTACAAACTTTAGTAAGAGTCGTTTCATATTGTCTGAGATTTCTTGAAAATTGCAGAAATGCAAAATATAAAAACTTAAAACCCTTGACTCTTGCAGAATTTAACAAATCTTTATCTGTTCTGGCTAAAATTTCCCAAAAGGTTGACTTTCCTGAGGAAATTTCTAAACTTACCACAAAACGAGACATTAAAACAAGTCCCATTCTAAAACTAATGCCATTTCTAGATGAAGATGGGATTCTTCGTGTAGGAGGACGCCTTCAAAATTCTAACTTCCCGTATGACGTCAAACATCCAATTATCTTGTCAAAACACAATCCTTTGGCTCAACTCTTAATTTCTGACGCACATGAAAAAACTTTACATGGCGGTGTTACATTAACTATGTCTTTTGTAAACCGCAAATTTTGGATTGTATCTGGAAATCAACTTGCAAAACGCATAATTCATAAATGTATAAAATGCTTCCGATACAATGCAAAAACTGCTCAGCAAATAATGGGCAATTTACCAAAAGTGCGTTTAACAATTTCTAGACCTTTTAAACATAGTGGCGTCGACTATGCAGGACCCATTTCTATCAAAAATTCTAATCTCAGATCTTCTTCTATAACTAAAGGCTACATATGCGTATTTGTATGCATGGTTACAAAAGCCATACACTTAGAGGCAGTTTCTAATCTAACAACAAATGCTTTTCTTGCTGCCTTTAAGCGTTTCACTTCTAGAAGAGGCATTTGTACTGATTTATATTCTGATTGTGGCACAAATTTTGTTGGTGCATCAAAAGAATTAAAAGTCTTGCATAACAAAAATAAAAATTCCATATCCGAAGACCTTCTTCACTCTTTAAGCCAAAATTCAACTACTTGGCACTTTATCCCACCAGCTTCGCCCAACTTTGGTGGCCTTTGGGAAGCAGGTGTAAAATCTGTTAAATATTATTTGAAAAGAATCACAAATGATAGAAATCTTACCTTCGAAGAATTAACTACACTATTATGCCAAATTGAAAGTTGCTTGAATTCTAGGCCACTTTGTCCTCTCTCTAATGACCCTTCAGATTTTGATGCGCTTACTCCAGCGCATTTTCTTATAGGTGAGCCTACCAATTGCTTACAAGAAGAAACACTTTTGGATTCTAATATCAATAACCTAACCCATTGGAAAACTATTGAAAAAATAAAGCAACATTTTTGGAAAAGATGGCAAAACGAATAACTAAATCGCCTTCAAACTCGTCCAAAATGGCTTAAAACTTCAACGGATCCTAAAATTGGAGATTTGGTACTAGTCACTGATGAAAGATGTGGACCTGGACAATGGATACTTGGCCGTATTGAAAATACGCATCCAGGACCTGATGGACATACAAGGGTGGTATATGTTCTTATGAAAAACAAACTTGTTAAACGTCCAATTTCTAAAATCTGTTTACTTCCAGATAACTCACCTCATTCCGACCCTGATATGGACAATCCGAAAACTCAACTTTAAACTTTACATGGATATAGTTCTGTCGGATGTGTGGTTGCTATTATGATGGCTACACTAACACGCTGTGAGTCGGAGCATAGCGGAGGTTACTACCTCGACTAAAATTCTCCCATCGGTAGTTCATCATAGCATAGTAACCCGCATTCAAGAACATTCGTCCTTCAGGGGGGAGAATGTTGATGAAAACTTTCATTTCACCAACACACTACAAGCATCACCACCCATCAATGGCACAAAAACAACATAAACACACTCATCACTTAAAACTAATTTCTCCACAAACTTCATCTAAACAACAAATATCATCAACTATAATCGAATACTTGTATTATTAATAGTAGTTTTATTAATAATAGCATTTATTTGTATTGCTATTATTATTTATTATATTTAATTTTATTATTTCATTTTTTTTTTTCTTTACTTTTTCCGTCAAAATCTTCTCCTTTAATTAAATTATTATTATTTTAATTTTTTTTTATTTTTTTATTATTTTAATTAATTCACACTTCTCTACATATAATTAGTTACTTACATTATTTTTTATATTAAATTATAAAATTTACTTATTGTACGTATATTAATTATCATGAGTGTAGCCAAAAAATACCTTTTGTTTGGTGACCACTCATTTGCCTATTCCCTTTTCTTCTATTTGACAACAACAACACATCGATCACTGATCAGTAGTGTTGTTATGATGGTCGCTTTGATGCTTGCTTGTGCGTCGCGACCCCCTCGCCTACATGCTTTGTTATTCTTATTGCTTAATAACAATGGGAATGCAGAATAGAAGTAGGCAAATGAGTTGGTACACAACCAACTGCACATGCATGCATACATATTTATGTGTGACCGATGTATGCCTAAGAATATGCCTAAGAAATGAGAATTAGCATGATTGGCTTAGGTAGTCATTGACACCATACAAATATGCAAAAGGAGATAAATGCATATAAATGCAAACAGCTGTTGCATATTATATACATTTTTCGTTTGGTGATTTTTTGGCTACCAAACAATGTAGTTAAAGTTGACTCGCTCTCTTTTAATTGGACAGCCGAGCGATCAACAACGATAAGTACTTTTGCTAAACCCCTTCTGTAACCTTTACAAAAAAATACTTCTTCTAAAAATAAAATTTATTCTGTACAACCCCTGTTTGATAGAAAAGAAAATTACTTTGTTTTCTTTTTTTACTTTACATTATTAAACAGTGGGAAAAAACTCAACAGATACTAAATTTGGTATTGGGTGAAGGAATTAGGCTGGAATCCCGAAATTTGTTATTTAGGTCTCTGTTGGTGTTTGTGGTTAAGATATGGAGGTGATTTTGCAAACGCGTCCCATATTTGTACAAAAATACTATATGAAACTAAATTTGGTATTGGGTGAAGGAATTAGGCTGGAATCCCGAAATTTGTTATTTAGGTCTCTGTTGGTGCCTGCGGTTAAGACATGGAAGTGGGTTTGGAAATGCGCCATACATTTGTAAGAAAACTACTTAATAATATTAAAATTGTTGTTGGGTAAAGGAATAAGGCTGAAATACCGAAAATTGTTATTTAGGTCTCTGTTGGTGTCAGTGGTTAATATATGGAAGTGGTTTTGGAAATGCGTCCTATATTTGTAAGAAAACTACTTAATAATACTAAAATTGGTATTTGGTGAAGGTATTAGACTGGAATCCCAAAATTTGTTATTAAGGTCTGCGTTGGTGTCTGTGGTTAAGATATGGAAGTGGTTTTGGAAATACGCCATACATTTGTAGGAAAACTACTTAATAATATTAAAATTGGTATTGGGTGAAGGAATAAAGCTGGAATCCCGAAATTTGTTATTTAGTTCTCTGTTGGTGTCTGTGGTTAAGACATGGAAGTAAGTTTGGAAATGCGCCCTATATTTGTAAGAAAACTACTTAATAATACTAAAATTGGTATTGGGGGAAGGAGTAATGCTGGAATCATGAGATTTGTTATTTATGTCTCTCTTGGTGTCTGTGGTTAAGATATAGAAGTGGGAAATGTGCCCTATTTAGTTTTGGAAATGCCCCCTATATTTGTAAGAAAACTACTTAATAATACTCAAATTGGTTTTGTGTGAAGGAATTAGGCTGGAATCCCGGTATTTGTAATTTTGGTCTCCGTTCGTATCTGTGGTTAAGATATGGAAGTGGTTTTGGAAATGCGCCATACATTTGTAGGAAAACTACTTAATAATATTAAAATTGGTATTGGGTGAAGGAATAAGGCTGAAATCCCGAAATTTGTTATTTAGGTCTCTGTTGGCGTCGGTGGTTAAGATATGGAATTGGGTGTGGAAATGCACCCTATATTTGTAAGAAAACTTCTTAATGATACTGAAATTGGTATTGGGTTAAGGAATAAGGCTGGAATCCCGAGATTTGTTATTGATGCCTCTCTTGGTGTCTGTGGTTAAGATATGGAAGTGGGTTTGGAAATGCGTCCTATATTTGTAAGAAAACTACTTAATAATACTAAAATTCGTATTGGGTGAAGGAATTAAGTTGGAATCCCGAAATGTGTTATTTAGGTCTCTCATGTTGTCAGAAGTTAATATATAGAGGTGGTTTTGGAAAAGCGTCCTATATTTGCAAGAAAACTACTTAATAATACTAAAATTGGTATTGGGTGAAGGAATAAGGCAGAAATCCGGAAATATTTTATTTAGGCATCTGATATTGTCAGAGTTAGAGATGTAGTTTTGGAAAAGCGTCCTATATATGTAAGAAAAGTACTAAATAATACTAAATTTGGTATTGGGTGAAGGAATAAGTCTGGAATCCCGAAATTTGTTATTTACGTCTCTATTGGTGTCTGTGATTAAGATGTGGAGGTGGTTTTGGAAATGCGTCCTATATTTGTACAAAAAATTGTTGTTGTCTGTGGTTAAGACATGGAAGTGGGTTTGGAAATGCGCCATACATTTTTAAGAAAACTACTTAATAATATTGAAATTGGTATTTGGTAAAGGAATAAGGCTGGAAAATTTGTTATTTAGGTTTATGTTGGTTTTTGTGGTTAATATATGGAAGTAATTTTGCAAATGCGACCTATATTTGTAAGAAAACTTCTTAGTAATACTAAAATTGTTGTTGGGTGAAGGAATAAGGCTGAAATCCCAAAATTGTTATTTAGGTCTCTGTTGGTGTCAGTGGTTAATATATGGAAGTGGTTTTGGAAATGCGCCCTATATTTGTAAGAAAACTTCTTAATGATACTGAAATTGGTATTGGGTGAAGGAATAAGGCTGGAATCCCGAGATTTGTTATATATGTCTCTCTTGGTGTCTGTGGTTAAGATATGGAAGTGGGAAATGCGCCCTATATTTGTAAGAAAACTACTTAATAATACTAAAATTGGTATTGGGTGAAGGAATACGGCTGGAATCCCGAAAATTGTTATTTAGATCTCTGTTGGTGTCTGTGGTTAAGATATGGAAGTGGGTTTGGAAATGCGCCCTATATTTGTAAGACAACTTCTTAGTAATACTAAAATTGTTGTTGGGTAAAGGAATAAGGCTGAAATCCCGAAAATTTTTATTTAGGTCTCTGTTGGTGTCAGTGGTTAATATATGGAAGTGGTTTTGGAATTGGGCCCTGTTTTTGTAAGAAAACTACTTAATAATATTAAAATTGGTATTGGGTAAAGGAATAAGGCCGAAATCCCGAAAATTGTTATTTATGTCTCTCTTGGTGTCTGTGGTTAAGATATGGAAGAGGGAAATGCGCCCTATTTTGTTTTGGAAATGCCCCCTATATTTGTAAGAAAACTACTTAATAATACTCAAATTGGTTTTGGGTGAAGGAATTAGGCTGGTATCCCGAAATTTGTAATTTTGGTCTCTCTTCGTATCTGTGGTTAAGATATGGAAGTGGTTTTGGAAATACGCCATACATTTGTAGGAAAACTACTTAATAATATTAAAATTGGTATTGGGTGATTGAATAAAGCTGGAATCCCGAAATTTGTTATTTAGTTCTCTGTTGGTGTCTGTGGTTAAGATATGGAAGTGGTTTTGGAAATGCGCCATACATTTGTAGGAAAACTACTTAATATTATTAAAATTGTTGTTGGGTGAAGGAATAAGGCTGAAATCCCAAAATTGTTATTTAGGTCTCTGTTGGTGTCAGTGGTTAATATATGGAAGTGGTTTTGGAAATGCGCCCTACATTTGTAAGAAAACTACTTAATAATATTAAAATTGGTATTGGGTGAAGGAATAAGGCTGGAATCCCGAAATTTGTTATTAAGGCCTCTTTCGGTGTCGGTGGTTAAGATATGGAAGTGGGTGTGGAAATGCACCCTATATTTGTAAGAAAACTTCTTAAGTATACTGAAATTGGTATTGGGTGAAGGAATAAGGCTGGAATCCCGAGATTTGTTATATATGTCTCTCATTGTGTCTGTGGTTAAGATATGGAAGTGGGAAATGCGCCCTATATTTGTAAGAAAACTACTTAATAATACTTAAATTGGTATTTGGTGAAGGAATTAGACTGGAATCCCAAAATTTGTTATTTAGGTCTCTGTTCGTGTCTGTGGTTAAGATATTGAAGTGGTTTTGGAAATGCGCCCTACATTTGTAAGAAAACTACTTAATAATATTAAAATTGGTATTGGGTGAAGGAATAAGGCTGGAATCCCGAAATTTGTTATTAAGGCCTCTTTTGGTGTCTGTGGTTAAGATATGGAAGTGGGTTTGGAATTGCGCCCTGTTTTTGTAAGAAAACTACTTAATAATACAAAAATTGGTATTGGGTAAAGGAATAAGGTTGAAATCCCGAGATTTGTTATTTATGTCTCTCTTGGTGTTTGTGGTTAAGATATGGAAATAGGAAATGAGCCCTATTTAGTTTTGGAAATGCCCACTATATTTGGGTGAAGGAATTAGGCTGGAATCCCGAAATTTGTAATTTTGGTCTCTGTTGGTGTCTGTGGTTAAGACATGGAAGTGGGTTTGGAAATACGCCCTATATTTGTAAGAAACTTCGTAATAATACTAAAACTGGTATTGGGGGAAAGAGTAATGCTGGAATCCCGAGATTTGTTATTTATGTCTCTCTTGGTGTCTGTGGTTAAGACATGGAAGTGGGTTTGGAAATACGCCCTATATTTGTAAGAAACTTCGTAATAATACTAAAACTGGTATTGGGGGAAAGAGTAATGCTGGAATCCCGAGATTTGTTATTTATGTCTCTCTTGGTGTCTGTGGTTAAGATATGGAAGTGGGAAATGCGCTCTATATTTGTAAGAAAACTACTTAATAA